AGACATCTCTATCGGATGGCCCGTAGGCACCTCCAACACATTACCCTCCCTCCTTGAAGCGTTCCTGTTTGTTTTGAGCACACCGCCATCCTCCCAGCACACAGCCTGACCATCATCCTTGACTCTCCCTTCCCTTTAACCCCTACACCTCTGGGTGCTGAGTCTTCTCCATCTGTTCTCCATGACATCTCTCGCCCCTGTCCCCTTACCCCCACTCCCTAGGCCAGTTCCTCATCATCTTTCAGCTCGACTACATCCTTCCAATTAGTTCCCCTGCTTCCAGTGCTTCTCCTCTCCAAAGATTCCCTTCACAGGAGGATTATCTTCCTAAGGCATGGTTCTGATCATCTCCCTCCCCTACTCAAAAGTCTTCATTGGCTCCCAATCCCTTCTTAAATAAAATACACATTTCAGGGCAGCTAGGTGGTGCAGCGGATAGAGCACTGGCCCCGAAGTCAGGAGGACCTGAGTTCAAATCCAGCCTCAGACCAACCGCTTGACATTTACTAACTGTGTGACCCTGGGCAAGTCACTTAGCCCCAGTTGCCCAACCAAAAAATAAATAAATAAATAAATAAATAAATGAACAAATAAATAAATAAATAAATGAAATACACATTTCTCAGCCTGGAATTAAGGGGCAATCTGGTGTCTGTCTGCCTTCTCTTCAGCCTTATTTCACATGGCAGCCCTTCACACACTTTACAATCCAGCCAAACTAGGCTATTCCATCTCCAACCTCTGTGCATTTACCCATCCTTCCCTATACCAGGCGCGCCTTCCCTTCTCTGCTCTGCCTCAGAATCTTCATCTTCCATTTAGGCCCAGATCAGGTGCCACATCCTCTAGAGCCTTCTCTGATCCATATACTGCCCCCTCCTCCCAGCTTGCTAATACTCTGGAAGGAGTGTCTGAAGCAGATGTGGTGGCTCCCCGTGTCACCCTGGACAAGTCACCCAGACTCTCTCAGATTCAATCAGTCAGTCAATCAATAAATGTGTATTATGTCTATTATGCACCAGGCACTGTTCTAAGGGCTGGAGATAAAAAGATAAGCCGTGCTCTCAGGGAGCTCCTACTCTAATGAGGGAGAAAAAATGCAGACAACATAGTGCCCACAAGCCATAGGCAGGGGAAATGGGAAAAAAACATGAAAGGGAAGATGCTAGAATTAAGGGGGATTAGAAAAGGCTTCCTGCAGAAGGGGGTGTTTTAACTGAGACCTGAAGGAAGCCAGAGAAGCCAGAGTCCAGGTGTGGGGAAGCTGCAGCCTCGAAGCCCCGTGTGGCCCCCTAGGTCCTTTGGGTCAGTCAAAGGGTCTCACTTGAGGACCAGGGGGCCACATGGGGCCTCGAGGCTGCAGGTTCTGCACCCTGAGCCAGACGGAGGCAGAGATGAGGAGGGAGGGCATTCCAGGCCCGGGGGCCAGCCAGTGAACACGCTGTGTCTGCGGATCACAGCTTAGGTGGGAGTAGAAGGCGAAAGGAGCACGAAAGTGGGGGCGGGGAGGAGTAGTTTACAAAGGCCTTTGAGCGCAGCGGATTTTGTATTCGCTCCTGGAAATGCCGGGGAACCGCTGGACTTTACTGAGCTAAGGAGGGGCACGGTTCTGTCGCTGCCGCTATTCAATTGTTTCAGTCGTGTCCGACTCTCCGGGACCCTGGGTGGGGTTTTCTTGGCAAAGACACTGGAGCGATTTTGCCATTGCCTTCTTTAACTCATTTTACAGATGAGGAAACTGAGGCAAACAAGGTTAAATGACTCGCTCAGGCTCACACAGCTAGTAAGTGTCTGAGGCCAAATTTGAACTCAGCTCTTCCTGACGCTCAGCCCATCACTCTATCCACTGTGGCACCTAGCTGCCCCTGTATTAGAACTGTGTTTGAGCCTCAGTTTCCCCATCTGTAAAATGGGGCTAATAATAGCATCTACCTCTAAGGATCGTTCTGAGGATCCAATATGATAAGGAAGGAAATAAGCATTTATGAAGCACCTACTGCATGCCAGGCACTATGCTGAGCACTTTACAATTATCTCATTTCATCCTCACAACAACCTTGGAAGATAGGTGCTGTTATCACCCTCATTTTACAGAGGAAATAACCAGGGCGCCCAGTGACTTGCCCAGTGTGACACAGCCGGTAAGGGGCCGAGGCTGGATTTGAACCCAATTCTCCCTGATTCCAGAACCCAGGACTCTAGCCGCTGAATGCTGTCGCTCAGTCATTCAGTCACATCTACCTCTTTGTGAATCCGGGCACCGCACTGTCCTTACCCGCAGGGTGTTCTCGTCAGAGACACCGGACCGCGCTGCCATTTCCTTCTCCGGTTCATCTTACAGAGAAGGAAACTGAGGCAAACAGGGTGAGGCGACTCGCCCAGGGGCACCCCGCTAAACGTGTCTGAGGCTGGGTTTGAACTCAGGTCTTCCGGACTCCACCCGGCACTCTGTTCACTGAGCTACATGGCTGCCTCCCAATGCTGCTCGGAGTGTAATAGATGTAAGTGCTTGTTGAACGGCACCCCTGGGACAGTGCCTTACAGGACAAGGAGGAGCTCCTCGGAGCGGGGCTGGCTGTTGTGTGGCGGCAGTGGCTGGTTGTTGGGTGATGGTTGGTTGTTGTGTGTGGTTGTTGGTTGTTGGGTGGTGGTTGGTTGTTGTGTGTGGTGGTTGGTTGTTGGTTGTTGTGTGTGGTGGTTGGCTGTTGGTTGTGTGGTGGTTGGTGGTTGGTTGTTGTGTGTGGTTGTTGGTTGTTGGTTGTTGGTTGTTGTTTGTTGTTGTGTGTGATTGTTGTGTGTTTGTTGGTTGTTGTGTGGTTGTTGGTTGTGGTGTATGGTTGTTGGTTGTTGTGTGTGGTGGCTAGTTGTTGTGTGTGGTGGTTGATTGTTGTTGTGTGGCAGTTGGTTGTTATGTGTGGTGGTTGGTTGTTGGTTGTTGTGTGTGGTGGTTGGTTGTTGGTTGTTGTGTGGTGGTTGGTTGTTATGTGTGGTGGTTGGTTGTGTGTGGTGGTTGGTTGTTGGTTGTTGTGTGTGGTGGTTGGTTGTTGTGTGTAGAGGTTGGTTGTTGGTTGTTGTGTGTGGTGGCTAGTTGTTGTGTGTGGTGGTTGATTGTTGTTGTGTGGCAGTTGGTTGTTATGTGTGGTGGTTGGTTGTTGGTTGTTGTGTGTGGTGGTTGGTTGTTGGTTGTTGTGTGGTGGTTGGTTGTTATGTGTGGTGGTTGGTTGTGTGTGGTGGTTGGTTGTTGGTTGTTGTGTGTGGTGGTTGGTTGTTGTGTGTAGAGGTTGGTTGTTGGTTGTTGTGTGGTTGTTGGTTGTTGTTGTGTGGCGGTTGGTTGTTGTGTGTGGTTGTTGGTTGTGTGTGGTGGTTGGTTGTTGGTTGTTGCTGTGTGGTGGTTGGTTGTTGGTTGTTGTGTGGTTGGTTGTTGTGTGTGGCTGGTTGTTGTGTGGCAGTTGGTTGTTGTGTGTGGTTGGTTGTTGGTTGTTGTGTGGTGGTTGGTTGTTGGCTGTTGTATGGTGGTTGGTTGTTGGTTGTTGTGTGTGGTGGCTGGTTGTGTGGTGGTTGATTGTTGTTGTGTGGCAGTTGGTTGTTATGTGTGTGGTGGTTGGTTGTTGGTTGTTGTGTGTGGTGGTGGGTTGTTGGTTGTTGTTGTGTGGTGGTGGGTTGTTGTGTGTGGTTGTTGGTTGTGTGTGGTGGTTGGTTGTTGGTTGTTGTTGTATAGTGGTTGGCTGTTGGTTGTGTGGTGGTTGGTGGTTGGTTGTTGTGTGTGGTTGTTGGTTGTTGGGTGGTGGTTGGTTGTTGTGTGTGGTGGTTGGTTGTTGGTTGTTGTGTGTGGTGGTTGGCTGTTGGTTGTGTGGTGGTTGGTGGTTGGTTGTTGTGTGTGGTTGTTGGTTGTTGGTTGTTGGTTGTTGTTTGTTGTTGTGTGTGATTGTTGTGTGTTTGTTGGTTGTTGTGTGGTTGTTGGTTGTGGTGTATGGTTGTTGGTTGTTGTGTGTGGTGGCTAGTTGTTGTGTGTGGTGGTTGATTGTTGTTGTGTGGCAGTTGGTTGTTATGTGTGGTGGTTGGTTGTTGGTTGTTGTGTGTGGTGGTTGGTTGTTGGTTGTTGTGTGGTGGTTGGTTGTTATGTGTGGTGGTTGGTTGTGTGTGGTGGTTGGTTGTTGGTTGTTGTGTGTGGTGGTTGGTTGTTGTGTGTAGAGGTTGGTTGTTGGTTGTTGTGTGGTTGTTGGTTGTTGTTGTGTGGCGGTTGGTTGTTGTGTGTGGTTGTTGGTTGTGTGTGGTGGTTGGTTGTTGGTTGTTGCTGTGTGGTGGTTGGTTGTTGGTTGTTGTGTGGTGGTTGGTTGTTGTGTGGTGGCTGGTTGTTGTGTGGCAGTTGGTTGTTGTGTGTAGTGGTTGGTTGTTGGTTGTTGTGTGGTGGTTGGTTGTTGGCTGTTGTATGGTGGTTGGTTGTTGGTTGTTGTGTGTGGTGGCTGGTTGTGTGGTGGTTGATTGTTGTTGTGTGGCAGTTGGTTGTTATGTGTGTGGTGGTTGGTTGTTGGTTGTGTGTGGTGGTTGGTTGTTGGTTGTTGTGTGTGGTGGTGGGTTGTTGGTTGTTGTTGTGTGGTGGTGGGTTGTTGTGTGTGGTTGTTGGTTGTGTGTGGTGGTTGGTTGTTGGTTGTTGTTGTATAGTGGTTGGTTGTTGGTTGTTGTGTGGTGGTTGGTTGTTGTGTGGTGGCTGGTTGTGTGTAGTGGTTGGTTGTTGTGTGGTGGCTGGTTGTTGTTGTGTGGTTGTTGGTTGCTGTTGTGTGGTTGTTGGTTGTTGTTGTGTGGTGGCTGGTTGCTGTGGCGGGCTGTCGTTGTCTTGCCTGATCCTCGCATCCTCAGTGCACTGTAAGCAGCAGGCGCCTAACACAGGCCAGTGGTGTCCGGTGGAGTGGGCTGGGATCCCCTGCGCTCCCAGAGGCCCTCGAGGCCAGGCGGCCCCTGAGTGAGGGTCCAGGGGCCCCGGCCTCCTCTCCGCCTGGGTGGCTCGGCAGCCGCACACAAACAGGACCCAGGTAAATCTGCTGCAGGTGAGCCCCGGCGGCTCCCCCTCCGTGTCACGCTGGTCAGACTGTATGTCACCGTCATCAAAGGGGCTGTGCGCTGAAACCTGAAAAACCAAACGGACCTGTCTGTAGGTGTTACTTATATCACAAAGCTGCAGGTGCCTTCAGCCTCACTGGCCTTCGCTGCTAGGAGCTGCTTCCCTCCGAGCCCTCCCTTGGGACCTAACTCAACCCGACAGCAGCAGGATTGTTAGCCTCTCTCCTCACGTAAGCACCATTTTCTTTTGTGCTCTGGATTTTCAGTGGGGGTCTTGTTGGGGGGCGTGGGTCAGACCGGTTCCGTCCATCTGTCGCTGCTCCTTCTGGTTTGCCCCCTGGAGAGGCTGTCTGTGGTGGGAGGCCTTGACCTCTGAGCCAATCAGTCCTTCTGGGAGGCCAGCTCCCCAGAAGGGTGGTGGGTCCCAAAGCTTCCAGGATCACCTGATTGAAATGGGGGAAGCGCTTGGCAATCCCTCCCAAACCCGATTTCTATTCCTTTCCAAGCTCTTCTTTCCTGTTTCAGACGTAGAATATGGTTTCCATAAACCTTTGGTTATTGAGCCAAAGAGAAAAAGGTCCCATTAACAGAGTGGGATACTCTACCGCACAACCCACCGCCCCATTTGTTTGTCCTCAAAAGAGCTAGCATGGCTCAGAGGAAGTACCCTGAAGTTGGAGTGAGAGGATCTGGATTTGAATGCCAGCTCCGCTGTTTACCACCTGTGTGACATCGGGCGAGCTACCACCCACTCTGGGCCTCAGTTTCCTCCTCTGTAAAAAGAGTGGGTGAATGAAATGACCTCTAAGTTTCCTCTACCATCCTTCACACATCCCATCTCTCAAAAAAAAAGGTGCATTTTGGTTGCTGTGGATTTGTTTTAAAAGATCCAGTCCATCAAAAAATGTATATTTTTTAAAAGTTTCTCCTGCCTCGTCCACCTACCGCAGCGAAAAACATTCTCATAGAGACAGGCTTGGGTTTTTCCATGAAACTCCAAGTATTGCAGTTTCAAAACTCCTGTCAGTTGGCCCTCTGCTGGTACTCAAGGGTAGTGCATGCTTCTCTGCGAGTCTGCAGGATCCAGACAAGGAATCACTGAATTTTCAAAGTTGGGAGGACAGAGCTCTGCAGCTGGTGTTCGATAATTTGGGTTGGAATCTCGGCTCTGGTTCTTAGGGCCTGCAGGTCTTTGGGCAAACCTCTGAACCTCATTTCCTTCAGCCATGGACTCCCAAGGGATCTGTGGATAGATTTGGGGATGCAGGGGAGGTGTCTAGGAACTTGGAGAGGAAAAAAATCACGTCTTTATTTTAATATAATTGGTTTTCTTTATAATACTATGTGTCTTATTTTATGCATTTAAAAGCTTTATTCTTAAAAAGTATCTATAGGCCTCACCAGATGGCCAAAGGAGTAGATGACACATGAAAGGTTAAGAGCCCTTTCCTAGGTGATCTCTGATGGCCTTTTCTGCTCTAAATCAATAACTCTAGGACACTGTGATCAAATGTGTAGAGTTTGAAGGAATCTTCACAGGCCATGTGAGCCAAACCCCTCATTTTACAGATGAGGAAACTGAGGCCCAGGCACCGTAAGTGGCTTACCTAAAGGCATACAGGTAGAAATCATCAAAGGTAGAATTTGAGCCCAGGACTTCTGACTCCAGTATTCTTTCTACTATACCTCACTGATTTTAAAGATCATGAAATCTAGCCCCTTGGTATTACAGATGAAGCTGAGACCACTATTTTTAATTTTAATTATTAAATGATCAATAAGTGTAATTAAATTCATTTAATATTATTAATTTAATTATTAAATTATAAGTAAATTGAATTAATTTTACTTTTATTATGAATAACTTTAATTAACTTAACTTTAAATTTATGATGCATTTTGTTTATTTATTTTTTATACCAGAAGTACATCCCCCTCTACTACCATACTGAATCTTCTTATGTAAAAAAAAAAAAGTTATGCAAAAACCACCAGGCGGTGTACATCTCATTCTGCATCCATAGTCCCCCATCTCTCGACTGAGAAGAGGGAACTGTGGCTTTCATCCTGTGCTCTCTGTACCTAAGACTCTTACAGTTAATCTGTGTTCAGCTGACTTTCATTTACACTATCGAAGTCACTGTTTGTATTGTGCTCCTGGTATTACTATCTCCAGAATTCATTGCTTTATTCAAGTCTCCCCATGTTTCTCTGAATTCCTTCTTGCCCTCATTTCTCATGGTGCAATATATTTCGTTATATTCCCATGACAGAGTTAATTCAGTGTTCCTCTTCATTTGATGGGCACCAGCTTTATTTTCAGGTGTGTTTTTCCTCACCACAAAGGGTGCTGCTATGAATATTTTTTTTGTATATATGGAACCTTTGTTTCTGCCTTTAACCTTCTTGGCATATATGCCCAGCAGTAGGATTTCTGGGCCAAAGAGTATGCTGTTGCCATTATTTCTTGGAATTTGCTAGAACAAGATGCCATGTTCGAAACTTGGCCCCGTAGCGTGGTCCTTTGTTGGCTGATTTACACGCTAGACCTAATGTCCACATTCAGCTGAAACCGCACATCTCTTGGTCACAGCTATATTCACGATGGAGAAGGCACTCACCACTTACCCTGAAAGCCCCCTAAAGCCAGACTCTTAGGTGAATAAGTAAGAAAATGGGGCTCTATTTGAAAGCTCTCACTGTTTTCATTTCTAACATAAGAAAATATAATTTGAGAAAGCCTTCCCAGATGCCCCCACTTCTCAGTGGTTTCCCCACTTCTCCAATCATTTTTCTCTATACCGGTTCTATCTCCTAGGTTGGGGGTCCTTTGCCTATTCTGTGTCACAGACCTCTGGGGAAGGCTGGTGAAGCCTACAGACTCCTCAGAAACATACTGTTAAATGCATTAAGTAAAATAAAGGGGATTGAAAAGGAAAACAACAGTTAGTGGGAAAAAAAATCTGCTTTTTTTTTTTTCTAATCCAAGTTCACATCCAACCTCCTGCAATCCATCCATGGACCTCTTTAGGGACCTGTGAGCCCCAGGTCCAGAACCGCTGCCCTGCTAGAACAGAATTTCCTTGAGATAACGATTAGTTTTCGTCTTTGTACACCCCACCCCCGTGCCTAGGATAGGGCCTTCAAAGTAGTAATGCCTATTAAATGGAACCAGCAATCATTCTTTTTTAAAAAAGAGTGATGAGGTATTCATTTAGGACACCTTCCTTGTCTGGTTTCTTGGAGAGGGAAAAGCAGCCACTGGGGTCAGGAGACTAGGGTAATAGGATCCAATCTGACATTGAGAATGGAAGCAATGTGGTGTGACCTTGGGCAAGTCATTCACCTTCCTGGGCCTCAGTTTCCCCATCTGTAAAATGAGGGGGTTGGGCTAGCTGGCTTCTAAGGTTCCTTCTAATTCCTAAAATCCTGTTTAATGCAAACGGTGCTGTGGACGCAGTCTTTACCCTCGCAGAGCTTAACTGTCTAGTAGTGCAGAGATGACACAATCTTAACTCTTACCCAATGTTACTGATAAGTGCACAGAGACGTAAAACAAAGGGCTATAGGAGTTCCACTCGTCCCTATTGCGCCAGAGGACAGAGCCATGAGCAATGGGAAGAAGTGGCCAAGACAATCACTAGAGCTGGTATCAGGCACCCGTGGCTGACAGAGCCGTCCGGGACGAGCCGGCTTAGTAGCTGGTGGTGGCTCTTCCTTGTGGGTCCTCACACCAAAGCCGGGGGAGCAGCCAGGTTTGTGACAGAGGGATTCTTGGTCAGGTACGAGTTAGATTAGGTGGTGTCTGAGATCTTGTGAGATTCTGTGACACTACCGAGAGAAATCAGGGAAGGTTCACCGAGGAGGTGGCAGCCCTTTGGACCACCGGCTCTTCTACTGGAAAGAGGGGAAGGGAAGCGTCACAGGAGCCAGATTCCAATCCCAGCTCTGTCCGTTCCTACCTGTGTGACCTTGGGTAAACTGCTGCACCTGCTGAGGTCTCAGTTTCCTCACCTGTAAAATGAGGGCATGGAACTAGATACCCTCTAAGATCCCTCAAATTCTACATCTGGAGGAAGGGACTTCGTATGCGATGAGACAGAGGGAAGGCGCTCCTGGAGAAGGCATAAGCCTGAGCAAAAGCACTGAGGGCAGGCCCAGAACTGGGGATGGCTAATATTCCCGTGAGAAAGCAAGCCCATTTTTTTTTCTTCCCACCATAGATTCTAGCATGCTCTGCCACTGATACCTGGGAATAGCTAACATTTCTTTTTTTTTTTTAATTTTGTTTTGGTTTTGTTTTTTTTTTTTGGCCAGGCAATTGTGATTAAGTGACTTGCCCGAGTCACGTAGCTAGTAAGTATCAAGTGTCTGGTCTGAGGTCAGCTTTGAACTCAGGTCCTCCTGACTCCGGGGCCGGTGCTCTATCCACTGTGCCACCTAGCTGCCCCAATTTTCTATAACTTTTTAATGTTTGTAAAAATCTTTCACATAAATTATATCATTCGATCCTCACAAGAACCTTGTAAAGACAGAGAGGGCTGTGTGCGTCTGTGTGTGTGTGTGTGTGTGTGTGTGTGTGTGTGTGTGTGTATGTGTGTTTTGGACATGTCCAATGAGGGAATTAGTTTTGCTTGACTGTTTTCCTTTTTTTTTCTCCTCCAATGGGGAAGTGAAAGTAAGAGAGAAAGAAAGTAGAAATTTGTTCATTAATAAAATAAATAAAATGTTCAACCAAATTAAATACTATCTAAATCCCCTTCAACTTATGCTTGTCCAATTTTTGTTCACCTAAAATAATTTGGGAATTAAAAATGACCCTGTGAACTGGGTGCTATTATTATCTCCAAATTACAGATCAGGAAACAGACAGACAAAGGTTAAGTGGCTTGCCCAGGGTCACACAGCTAGTAACTGCCTGAGGAGGGATTCAAACCCAGGTCTTTCTGAAGTCCCTACACCATGCCACCATGACCCCCACCCCACCACACTTTCCCACATCATTAGCATCCTAAGGTTCCCTTTGCCAGTGCTACTTCTGTATGGATTCGTGTGCCAAAGCTCCGGTAGGTGCATTTTTGAACACCTGCCCAGGGTAAAATTGATGAGCCCTGGCGGGGTCAGGAAGAGATATTCCTTCTCCAGCCAGGGCTGGCTGGTTTGCTTGCTTCCCTCTTTTGAGGGCTGTCCCCCAAGATCTCTCACCTGCCAAGACCATTGCAGCCTCAGA